CCCACTCCCGTGTAACACGGCTCTATGCGCTTTGCATAAATGCATGTACGAACAATATTCACTCTCTCACGCGCACGCACACACACACACACACACACACACACACACACACACACACACACTTGCTTATCACACGCGCACGCTTACACGTGATATGAAACGAGCACACACATACATAATGAAATAATACACTCGATGCAATTCGCAAAATACATAGTAATGGATACATAATCATTTACCAAAAAAATTGTACTGAACATGAATCTACTGACATGGAAAGGGTATTATTAAAGGTGTCTTTAAAGATATTTTTAATTTAGACTCAGATGTTGTATGTCTCAAAGGTTGTGGAAGAGTGTTGCAAACTGATGGAGCAAGGTGGGCAAACGATCTTTCAGCTATTTTTTTTACCTCCTTTTCTAGGAACTCTTAAAAGATGCCGACCACCCGATCTTTGTGGTCTTGATGGAACATAAATTTGGATGAAATCACTAAGATTTGTTATTGACACATTTATGACATAATTGTGTAATTTTATATCACATTCAAGCTGACACGGGAAGCCAATGAAACGTTCTTAACGTGGGAGTAATGTGATACCTCTTCTTTTTCTTTAGTACAAGCCTAGCAGCATGATTGTAACTTGTGAAGAGTGGTATTTGGTATATTAGCTAGTAAAGCATTGCAATAACCGATGCGTGAAAACAAGAGAGATGACACGAACGTCATGCATCAGCAGCAGACTGAAAAACAGAATTAACATGAAGAATTTGATCAAAGTCGACTGCCGAAACGTTTTGCAAAAAGTAACACAAAATGTCCGAGTAGCTTGCCTGAACACCAGCTCATGCCATAATAAATCGGACGAATTAAATGATTTCATAATTGAAATGAACCTTGAAATTTTATGTATGACAGAATCATGGTTGCAGGAGTACGGTGACGATGCTATTTTATCAGCAATATGCCCAGTTGGTTATTTAATTAAGTCTTTCCCTCGTGTCGGGCGTAGATGAGAAGGAGTAGCGATTATTTATAGAACTAATTTAGCACAAGTTACAGTGAAAAAGGTTCCCTGTCACTCATGTGAAGCTGCTTTACTGTCGTTCCAGTTGCAGTCCCAAAGCATTACCATCTGCTGCATATACAGGCCACCACCGAGTAAAGTAAATTATATCAAACCATCCGTTTTTATTGAGGAATTTCTAAATTTAATTTCAAGTCTGACGATGAAAAGTGCACCATTTATTATAACTGGCGATTTTAATTTTCACTTTGGCTCTGAGAATCCTGTCACTAAAAATATATGCAACCTGTAGACAGAAAATGATTTAAAACAACTTGTCCAAATACCAACACATATAAGTCAGCACATCCTAGACTGGGTTATCCCCCCTGTCGAAAAGAACTGTGTGAAAGGCATAAACGTTCTGGACAAAGACATTTCGGATCATTTTCTTCTGATTGTTGACTTGAACATAAAAAAACAAAGGAAAGATATAAAAACAGTTAATTCCCGGAATCTGAAAGATATAAATTTACACCAGTTTCAATGTGACATTCGTGACGCTCTTGCTGTTAGTTCCTCTTTTAACATAGACACCCACAACACCATCATGAGGAATGTTTTAGATGATCATGCTCTTGTTAAGAAACGAAAATTATCTCATCGACCTGTTGGTAAGTGGTTTAGTCTAAAAAATAAAGGCTGCCAAAAAAAGAAAAGAAAAAGACAAGCGGAAAGAAACTAGAGAAAAATACGACTTGAAGTGCATAATATTTATACTTATGAAGAATTCTGTAAATAAAATCAAATTATTACCAAGGCTAAGTGTACTTTTTTTGTACTAATGTGAAAATGTTAAAACTTGTAAGGAACTTTTTGATGTCTCTAGTCAACTGCTTGGAAACCAAAACAGAACAGTATTACCCCACTGGCACCGATAGAGATCTTTGTAGTAGCTTTTCAGACTTTTTTCTTTTAAAAAATCACCTCCATCAGGCAAGAGCTCGATATAATGTGCACAATTGCCCCAATTTACCATTAGTCATCGAATATTTCACTCCAGCAAAGGAAGTAGAAATCAGAAAGATCACATTAGATAGTCCACCAAAAACTTGCGCCTTAGACCCAAAGTCCACCAGCCTTTAAAAAAATGTTTGCATGAACTTCTTTCACATATCACCCAAATTGTAAATGATTCTCTCCTCACAGGCACAGTACCAAATTGTTTTAAGACAGTACTTTTTTTTACTCCTTTTGAAAAAAGCTGGACTTGATGAAAAGGACTTTAACATTTTTAGACCAGTTTTAAATCTTTCATTCCTATCCAAAATTCTGGAAAACGTTGTGTCTAATAGACTCTTACATCACATTAAAGCAAATAATCTTAGAGAAGTTTATCAGTCGGCATACAAGCCACACCATAA